GCCACCCAGACGCCCTGTTGCCTTTTCAATACCTGAATGGTGTCTTTGTTGCTGTTGTTTTTACAATTAGGAAAAAAAAGCTCTATTCCCTTCTAACATTTTTTAAAAATTGTCAACAGCTTTATCATAGTATACATACCATAAATTCACTTCTTTTTAGTGTAATAATGGTGTGGGTTTTTTTTTTCTTTTCAGTATTCAAAAAGGTTGGGAATTACTTAGAGATCCAATGCCATGTTCTTACCAATACTTGCTTTTTCTGGAGGAGTGGGAGACAGCTAGCACTTTTAATGTGTTATTTTAATAGAAATATCTGTTCAAAATCATAAAGAAATACATGCTTCTTATAAATAAAAATCAAACATTGTAGGTAAGAGTAAGTTGGTGACACGCTGAAGGTCAACATCAGCTTTTGGGACTGAGCCAAATCTGATATTTGACTTCAGCTTTGGCTTGACTTTTGGAAGGTCAAATAGTTGATGCTAACTTCAATGTCATTTCTGGAATCCCTGAACTTGTGTGATCAACAATCATATGATTGTCTCATATCTAATCATAACAAGAGCAGTGATAGGAACAAGGCATGGCATTCAGATTTCTTAACAGCTAACCATCCACCGTGAAGTATTAGCAAGCCTTCTTGATGTAACTTGGAGTGGGAATCTCTTTTGTGCTTTATATGCTGAAATTTTGTCAATCAGTTGAGGTAAAAATGTGCTTTTGTTATTGCATAAGCGTACTGCAGTAACTGTGGGTCAAAGTTGTTCACTTTAGGCACGAAAGCTATCACGAGCTTTCAAATAGTTAAATAAACAGGGCGATAGCTGACAAAATAGTGGTAGGAGAGAGTGTGTGAGCTAGACAACCTTAGGAAAAACATTATATCCTTATATCCTTCTTGGGAACCAAAATATTATAAAACCTGGCCTTGCTTGGAAGTGAGCATCTCTTCCGTGAGAGGGGGCCCCCCTCAGCAGAGAGGCCACAAAACGTCCCATCAACGATGGCCCCAAACTACTCTTCCTGCACTGTCGGCCCTTAAAATTTCACTATTGTTTTTTTTTTTTAATTTTTTTTCAACATTTTTATTTATTTTTGGGACAGACAGAGACAGAGCATGAACGGGGGAGGGGCAGAGAGAGAGGGAGACACAGAATCGGAAACAGGCTCCAGGCTCCAAGCCATCAGCCCAGAGCTTGACGCGGGGCTCGAACTCACGGACCGCGAGATCGTGACCTGGCTGAAGTCGGACGCTTAACCGACTGCGCCACCCAGGTGCCCCTCACTATTGTTTTAATACAAAGTTGGAATAATAAAGTTTTCCTATAAAATGATGCCAAGCTTTGGTCTCTTCTTTGACTGAAAATTCTTTTAAAAATATACTTTACATTTTGGAGCAGTTTTAGGTTCCTAGCAAAACTGAGCAGGTGGTGTAGAAATTTTCCATCCATCTCCTATCTCAATGGTATCTTTCAAAAAGCAGAAGTTTTCAACGTGGTGAAATCCAATTGATCAATTTTTTCTTTGATGGTTAGTACTTTTTGTATCCTAAGAATTCTATCCTACCCTCGAGGTCAGAGATTTTCTTCTATGTTTTTTGTTTTTGTTTTTGTTTTTGTTTTAATGTTTGTTTATTTTTGAGACAGAGGGAGACAGAGCGCGAGCGGGAGAGGGGCAGAGAGGGAGACACAGAATCCAAAACAGGCTCCAGGCTCTGAGCCGTCAGCACAGAGCCTGACGCGGGGCTCGAACCCATGAACCGTGAGATCGTGACCTGAGCGGAAGTCGGACGCTTAACCGACTGAGCCACCCAGGCGCCCCTTTTTTGTTTTTTTTTTTTTAAAGGACTTCTACAGTGTTAGCTCTTACATTTAGGTCTAGCATATTTGAGCTAATGACTGCAGATGGGCGCTGTTTCTCTGTCTTCTCAGTGAACAGGGCTGGGAAATCGACAATATGCGGACAGTGCCTCCTGAGTGCAGACTGATACTGCTATGCCAAAGCAAAACCACAGAGTGTTTATTTTTGTCTGAGTGAGTTACCTTCTTGTCTACCACATCCTTTCTTTCTTCCCTAATAAGCATCTCCCCAAGATCACACGGATGTTAGCGTTCAAATATCCCATAATCCTTCCTTTACGTGATCTCATACGCACGCCAGCCGCGATAATAGTCACAGCCAACCACCAGCTCTGATTACTGACCACAGTTAAAAGCGTTTCCACATACGCTTCCCCCTCCTTTTCCCCTGTTCTGTCGTTGCTGGTCTAGAGCTCCGTCGTCAGAACGTAATGGCCGGTAGGTCGATACATACGCATCTGTTCGATGTTCACCACGTCCAGCTGTGGATGCCGCTCGCCGATTTTGATCATCCCCCACTCATGCCCCGGTAGGTTTCTTCAGAAGGAATAACAGGGGCAATGTTTTCCGATTCATGCACGTTGACGACAGTTTCTGTTATCTTTATACGCTCTGCGTTGGAAAATCGGTTTCCCCGAATGTAAAATCTTTGGCTCACGCTGTCTCCTCGTGCGTATCCTAAGTTATTACATTTTCGGGTATCAATCGTTGATGTTTAAAAAAATTTTGCAGCAATCCCGTTTTCTTTACCTTAGACGTCGCATGCGCTTTGTCCCTAAGCTTCCCAAGGACTTTTCCTTTTCCCTTAGCGCCTGTGGTTTTAGTAGACTATGCCTTGGTGTTGCTTGTTTTGGTTCATGTTCTTGGGCCCCCGTCTGTCTTTCAGTGTGGAGCTTCAGGTATTTTGCTCTCAATTAAGTCGTCTTGAATTATGTCTTTTTAAATACTTTTTCTATTTCCTTGCTCTCCACATCTTGAATTTTCTTATTTTATGTTTAGTATTTGTCGCTGCCTTCCACATCTTCTTTGTCTCTATTTTTTACTTTTAGTTAAGAACATATTGTAAGTTTATTTATTTCGAGAGAGAGCGAGTAAGCAGAGGAGGGGCAGAGAGAGGGAGAGAGAAAATCCCAAGCAGGATTCCATTCCATCAGCGCAGAGCCCCCTTGCGGGGGTCTAACCCACGAACCTTGAGATCATGACCTGAGCCAAAACCAGAGTCAGAGGCTTAACCGACTGAGCCACCCAGGCGTCCCTCCATTTTTTATTTTTCAAGATGTATCTGCTTTTCATCTTCCGTTTCTTGTAGGGCGTTTTCCGGGCTGCTTTTTCTTCTAGTTCTGTCTTCATTTCTAAAATGATTGTTTCTTCTATTTCCGATTCTTGAGTTCTGTCTCCTCACTTTGGGGGGGGGGGTTGAGACATACTTTGCATGTTTTTGTGGGGGGACAGAGGATCCGAAGCGGGCTCTGTGCTGACGGCAGACAGCCCGACGTGGGACTTGAACTCACAAACCATAAGATCGTGACTTGAGCCAAGGTTGGACGCGTCACCGACGGAGCCACCCGGGCGCCCCGGTCCTGTGCTCTTTCTAATACTCAGCTGAAAGTGCATGGCTCCCTTGACTTTGAAACTCTTCCTAGGAATTTAGTAGACATTTCTGCAGACACAGTGCCTGGAGATGTAACAGACAAAGAATTGACTGAAGGCACCTGTGTCACTGAGTGTGTGACATTCCTCAAATGAGAAGGGAGGAGACAACTAGCCCACCGTAGGGAGGCAGCCCCCACCTAGCTACGGAAATGGGAGGGTCTGAGCACCGTGCTGGAGGCCAAGGTCGGCTCTGAAGCCCACACCTACTGCACTTGAGTTGTTCGGGGCTTTCCTTCTTTCTTTCTTTATTTTGTTTTTAACGTTTATTTGACAGAGAGAGAGAGAGCGCGTGAGTAGGAGAGGGGCAGAGAGAGAGGGAGACAGAATCCCAAGCAGACTCCACACTGTCAGTGCAGAGATCCATGCAGGGCTCAAACCCATGAAACCACAAGACTGTGACCTGAGTCAAAGCCAAAGAGTCGGAGGCTTAACCGTCTGAGCCGTCCAGGTGCCCCTCTTTGGGGCTTTTCGTTGACACAGGGACGAAAGTGCATTGTGATTTTTGCCAAACGGATTAGGAGGGTTGTGGTCAGGGCTTAATTTCATCTCTTGGGCAAATTTTGGGTGAGCGTCAGTTAGGGACCAGCCTTGTGCCAGGGGCTGGGATCGAGCCACAGACAAGACAGACAGTGTGTGCTCAGGGAGAATTCATGTCCCCTCTCCTGCTCATCAAATTGAAACTTTATGTGCATCAATAAAAATATTTCCGGAGCGCCTGGGTGGCTCAGTCGATTGAGCGTCCGACTTCAGCGCAGGTCGGGGTCTCCCGGTTTGTGGGTTCGAGCCCTGCGTTGGGCTCTGTGCTAACAAACAGCTCACAGCCTGGAGCCTGCTTCGGATTCTGTGTGCGTGTCTCTCTCTCTCCCCCTCCCCGGCTCATGCTCTGCCTCTCTCTGTCTCTCAAAAATAAATAAATGTTAAAAAAAATATATATTTCCAAGCCTCTGAAGTGACAATATCTGCCGACTCAGTGAGAACAACGACTGCCGAAAAACGACTCAGTGAGTTGAACCTCGTTGAAGGTAGAATCCGAACAGGAAGACCTTTGGATGTCTCTCTTTTAAAGTGCACGTACAAATCAAACAAACAAAACAACCCAAAATATCGCATGTGCGTCTGCATTTCTGGTTTTAATTGTCTCCTTCGGGGCCCAAATCAGATTAGAGTTTCTAAGGAAGTGTATCAGCGGGGAGAGTGCAGTCAGGATTCTGTCTGAAGCCCTTGTCTGGAGGGGGCATTATCTTCTGCTTTTGAGCAGATGTTTCTGTGACCTCCAGACCGGCCCATCATTGAGGCCTGACTCAATCGTGAAATGTGATAAGCGAGGCCAAAGGGTCACTTTTATTGTTCAAGAGAATGCTAACGTTCCACAGGACGAACATTTATTAGCTGGGAACTTGTTGGCAGAATTTACAGCCCTTGGGGAAGAGGAGAGGCTCATCAAATGTCAACATCTTGGTTTCCCCACAATTAGGGAAGCCAGAGCCTCCCAAACAGGGTGAGTTTATCAAATCGTGTTCTCCGGGGTGTTTGTCTCCCCGAGTCGGTTCAATTCACTGAGCACCGTTCCACTCTATTGCTGTCTGCCAAGGCCGTCCAGGCTTTTAAAGGCAGGCTGAGAGGCAGAGGAGACCAACAGGTACTGGTCACTTTCTCTGGGCCTGGCAGGACTTCTGCTAGCTCTCACAGTAACCCCGGGGGCTCCGGGGGGTTGTCTGAGGTCAAATATGGTGAAGACAGGTCTTGGGTCAGGGTATCTGCGGCATGGATCCACCTAGGAAAGGCGTGAGCAGGGGGACCACCAGATGGGGACCACCCCATTGTCTCTAGTCTTGGCTGTCCACAAAAGCGTTGGGGACAAGTGAAACTCTTATAGGAGATCACTTGTCTTTGGCTTTAAGGAATCTGAACAACCCAACAGTTTTCATAGGATCAAAATAAATTGAGGGGCGCCTGGACAGCTCAGTCTGTTGAGCTTATGGCTCTGGATTTTGACTCAGGTCATGGTCTCATGGTTCGCGAGATCGGGCCCCACGTCGGGCTCCACGCTGAGTGCAGAGCCTGCTTGGGATTCTCTCTCTCTCTCCCTCTCTCTCTCTGCCCCTCTCTCATTCACATGTACACATGCTCTCTCTCTCTCTCTCTCTCTTTTTCTATTAGAATAAATAAACTTAAAGATAAATAAATAGGGGCGCCTGGGTGGCTTGGTCGGTTAAGCGTCCGACTTTGGCTCAGATCATGATCTTGCTGTCTGTGAGTTTGAGCCCCGCGTCGGGCTCTGGGCTGACAGCTCAAAGCCTGGAGCCTGTTTCCGATTCTGTGTCTCCCTCTCTCTCTGCCCCTCCCCTGTTCATGCTCTGTCTCTCTCTGTCTCAAAAATAAATAAACATTAAAAAAAAAAAAAAGATAAATAAATAAGTTGAAGGTTAGGGCAGCACAGGAAAAGAATTCTTGTCCCCAAGTACTAAGTACTAAGAATTCTTTGGTACTAAGCATGGTTATCCCTGTGGCAAAAGTCAGACAGAGACCTGCTGTTCTAGCATCCATAGTGGGACTGTGTGTGCCTCCCGAAAACCTACTTCTGCCTCCACCTGCCTCTGTCCCTAGCCCTGGGCTCCTGCAGCTTACAAGTCCCCGTGCCACCTCCCGCCAGCCTCCCCAAGAACTAATCTTGGAGGCCTGGGATGTGCCAGGCCCTGGGCGAGGCTCTGGGCACTCTGAGAGCCAACCAAAGTCCCTGTCTTCCCGGGGCTTACGATCTGTGGGGAAGATAAGAGTAACGACGGGCAAACCTGTAGGTCAAAGAAACCACGAGAGACTCTACAAACCGGGTGAAGGCTGGGGGTGTGTTGTGAGATGGGGGTCGGGGGGTGCTATGTGAGAAAGGTGGCCAGCAAAGCCTCTGGGACAAGGGCACAGTCGGGCAGAGACCCGGGTGAGGGGAGGCTGTGAGCATGGCTGAGCTGGGGGCACGGGGCCCAGGTGGCGGCCTTCCCGCTCTTCCTCAGGTCCACTGAGGGGTCGTCCCGGGGCCTCGGTGCAGCCGCTCACCCCGCCCTGACGCCCACCCCCAGGATCCCCGACACTCACACCCTTGTGTCATTCGAGTCCTAATGAATCGACACCCAGAGGGCCCTTCCCCGTTCACCTCCCCTGACCGAGGTGCAGATAAAAACGTTGAGACTCCCAACACTGGAGAAACCAGCCCAAGCAAGGTCAGCTGGCTGCAAGGCATCTGGGCCGCAGTTTGGAGCCCGCCCTGTCTTCCTCGCCCCTCCCCTGGCCTCTGAGTGCTGTCGAAGCGTGATTGATTTCACTTGAACACCCATGGTCTCCGTCACCTGGGCCCCGTCCTCTTCGTGATCATCTGGGCGAATCTGGGTCATGCCCGACTCCTTGTCTTTCCACCTGCTCTCCCCGGCTTCCCCCAATCTAGAAATCCCCCACCCCTCCCAGCCTCTCCATCCCAGGAGAAGACATAACCACCAAGTCACAGACAGAAACAAAGGGCTCCTGGGTGTGTCCCTCATGCCTGGCGTATTAGTCAAGGTTGTCCAGAGAAAGAGAACCAATGGGACATAGATACGTAACGAGAAGATTTGCTGTAAAGAACGTGTTCACACAACTATGGAGGCAGTTGAGAAGCCCTGAGATCTGCAGTCAGCAAGCAGGAGACCCAGGGGAGTTGCTGGTGGAGTTCTTGGCCGAGTCCGAAGGCCTGGGAACCAGGAGGGCCTTGTGTCGCTTCCGGTCTGAGGGAAGAAGACCGATGTCCCAGTTCAGGCAGGCAGGCACGTGGCATTTATTCTTCCTCAGTCTTTTTGTTCTATTCAGGTCTTCAACTACTTAGAGGAGGCCCACCATATTATGGAGGACCATCTGCTTTACTCCGTCTACTGATTCAAATGTTAATCTCATCCAGAAACACCCTCCCGGACACATCCAGGGTATTGGGCCAGATGTCTGGGTGCCCCATGGCTCAGTCAGTTGACACAGAAGTGGCTGTCACTCCCAGCCTTTGGACACCTAACAGCTTATGTCCAATAGCTCCCCCTTGTTCCCCCCTCACATCTGTCTTAGAAGAAAAGGCTTCTGGCCTCTGGTCTGGGGCTGGTCCCTCCCCCTGTGCTCTGGGTCCGTCTCCAGAAAGGAAATCATCCAGCATTTCTATCCCCCCATTACCCAAGATGGCGGTGTAGGTAAAGCTCGGTGTGGGAGGGGAAGGTGCTGGTTCCGGGAAGGAGTCCAGAGTGTGGGGGTGAGGCCTCGACTGCATGACCAGACAGGCATTCCTGTAAAACCCCCGACCCTGACATCTACACCAAACACCCCTCCAGACAAGGCCCTCCCTGCAGCCACCGGGCGCGGGGAGGGGGGGGCACGCGGTCACTCTTTCTTGGGACCTCTTGGTGCCCGGGCCTGCTCTCTCCAGAGAGGTTTCCCTGTCCCTTCATGTCAACCAACCCTCCTGGCTTGAGCAGGATTTTCTCACTGTGGATGTCAGAATTCCAACTCAAAACAGTTAAAGTAAAAATGAGGATTTATTTAACTTTTTTTTAATGTTTATTTATTTTTGATAGAGAGAGAGAGAGAGAGAGAGAGGGACAGAGCATGAGCAGGGGAGGGGCAGAGAGAGAGGGAGACACAGAATCCAAAGCAGCTCCAAGCTCCGAGCTGTCAGCACAGAGCCCGACGTGGGGCTCAAACTCACGGACTGCGAGATCGTGACCTGAGCCGAAGTCGGATGCTCAACTGACTGAGCCACCCAGGAGCCCCCAAAATGAGGATTTATTGATTGACGCAACTGAGAGTTCATGAATGGGGCTGGCTTGCCGACTCTGCTAATACTGTTGGGCCTCAGTTTCCCTTTGCCACACACACACACACACACACACACACACACACACATCATGCCCGTCTGCTGTCCTCTGTGTGTAGAGCTAGTTTTTCTTGCTGTAGGTGAGTTTCTCCGTGCAGTAAGGGGAGAAAGTGTCACAGGCACGGAGAGTGCAGGTGTCTGTCACCCCAGCTCAGCCACCTTGAAGGTAGGCCTTCTCTCTCCCACCCTCCGTATTGGAAGTCCCCGGGTGAGATTGGTCCTGTATAGTCACCTGCATTGCCTGTACGACCACCTTGGTGTGGCCAGAGAGACGGGAGCTCTGATGGGCCAGGCCTGGGTCACGTGACCGCCCTCTTGGCCAAGGTACCAGGTTGGCAGGTGTCCTGGAATCACATGGACGGAGGGCAGAGCAGTTCAAGGAAGGAAGGACCTATTTTAAGAAGCAATGGGAAGGGAGGTAGGGCAGATAAAAACAGTGGATGACCTCCTCACCGCCTGGTCTGGGGGTGTATTGGATTGGGGCCCAACATACTCCGTTGTGGCCTCATCTTTTTTTTTTTAATGTTTTTTTAATTTATTTTTGAGACAGAGAGAGACAGAGCATGAACAGGGGCGGGGCAGAGAGAGAGAGGGAGACACAGAATCCGAAGCAGCTCCAGGCTCCGAGCTGTCGGCACAGAGCCCGACGCGGGGCTCAAACTCACAGACTGTGAGATCATGACCTGAGCGGAAGTCGGACGCTCAATCGACCGAGCCACCCAGGCGCCCCTATTGTGACCTCATCTTAACTAGTTACGTCTGCAGCGACCCTCACTCCAAATAAGGTCATGTTCTAAGATACTGGGGATTAGGACTTCAACCGTATCTTTTGGGAGGGGACACAATTCAATCCCTAAAACCTATTGGGTGGTGAAGCCAGCCTCAAATCCAGAGCTCACGCTTTCTGCCTGAAGGTTGCTGATACTGACGGCTGGCATTTTTGGGTGACTGCTTTGTGCAGGCAGTTGCTCATAGTTTGCCACTTTAAAATGACAGCAACCGCAGGGGCGCCTGGGTGGCTCAGTCGGTTAAGCGTCCGACTTCGGCTCAGGTCACGATCTCCCGGTTCACGGGTTCCAGCCTCGTGTCGGGCTCTGTGCTGATGGCTCGGAGCCCGGAGCCTGCTTCTGATTCTGTGTCTCCCTCTCTCTCTGCCCCTCCCTCCTTAGCACTCTGTCTGTCTCTGTCTCAAAAATAAATAAGCATTTTTAAAAATTAAAAAAAAATCACAACAGCTCTACAAAGTAGGCTTTGGGTCCATTTTATAGGTGAGGAAATCAAGGCGTGGAGAGGTTAAGTGCTCAAAGGCACACAGCTGCTTAGGAACGGAGTCGGGATTCACGCTGGTTTACCTGACTTCACATCCGCTTTGCTCTTGGCCCCGCCTTGCTGAGTTAAGGGGCATAATATAAGCGTTGATGAAGCGCCGTGGGAAGCCCGGCAGACAGAGACCGCTGCTGCCTGTGGATGGTTGGGGACAGGGCTGGCGGACAGAAAAAAATCTGGAAATCCTTCCTGGAGGCAGTGACGTTTTAGCAGAGTCCAGAAGGCGGGGTCAGACTCAGGTGTGCAGAAGTGGCAAGAAAGGGCGTTTTGGGCGAGGCATTTAGCAGAAGCAAGGCCTAGAGGCAAGAAAGTACTGGTCCAGAGTCCACACTCTCCCGGGGGGACAAAAGGAAAGAGCATCTCTGTAACTGGGGACAAAAATGGGGTATTCGTTCTCATCTTCCAGGTTCCCACTATTCTAGCGGAAATCGTGTCCAAAGCCGCTTTCCACCCAAGAACAGGGGACATCCCAAGAAGGCAGCGGAAGCCTGAATTCGCGGGACCAGCCGAGGGGGGCCCCACTGCTTTTCTCCTCTTTCCCACGCGCCCACGGCCAACCCCGTCCAAGCCCAGAAACCAGAGAGCAGCGAAGACGCCCGTCCATCGTCCGGGTCCAGGAGGCCCAGCTGAGATCTGTTTCAACGCACCCACGTGAGAGGGTTCCCAGTGTGTTTCCCCAGTTGCCATGGCTTTGCTTTCTGCGTCAGGCGCTCTGTCTGTCAGACACGACAATTGAATAATATTTTTATTTTTAGGCATGGGTCACCAAGTTTTTTCATTCCACCGTCAGGCTCGCCCCCACACTGGAGCTCCGGGGAACTGAGCCTCCGGTCGCCTGCGAAATGAATGGGTGCAGCCGGGAGCGGGGTGGGGGGTGTCCAGCCTGAGCTGGACACTGTCCTGGGGCCAGAAAACCTTGTCCCGGGGGGGAGGGTGTCCATCATGGCAGAACACGGTGAGGGTAGCTGGTCTTCGCCAAGACCTGGGTGCCGTCGGGCCCGAGGGGCGAGGTCGGCGCTGCGGGAGGGCAGGTGCGTGGGCTGGACCCTCTGTGTGCGGTGGGACGATGTCCCACTATGTGGCGATGGTGCCGGGGAGCAGGCGGGCGCTGGGGCGAGTAGTCAGCATCAACAGAGAGCCACGGGATGCCCAAAGGTGGGTTGCGGGCTTTCAGTGGAGGCAGACGGAAGTTCTCAAGGGTCGAATCAAAGCGGGGGCGCTCAGGAGTCAGACCCTCACATTCGGGGCCGGATAGAGTCAGGCAGGACCTGTATAAATAGAGCAGAGGTCCTTGCTCTGGCCACTGTTGACTTTCAGGGGTGATTGTTCTTGGTCCTGTGCTCTGTAGGGTGTCAGCAGCGTCCCGGCCTTCACCCACGGGATTCCGGACGCACTCCCTTCCCGGTTGTGACAACTAAAAATGTCTGCAGGCCTCCCCCCGCCGCTGTCTCCAGGGCAGCGGGGCTGAGCGCTCTCTGGTTGAGGCTTAGTGGGAACCGGAGGCTGAATGGATTTGGGACTGGGGGACAGACGCAAAGACCCAATCACTGGGACCGGGAACGGCCCCTCAGCTGGCCCCCCACCGGCAAGGGCCTTTGGTGGCAAACGACACCTGTCAGTCCTGGCTAACACCCCCAAAAGGGAACATGGAGGAAGACGCGACAGAGGTAGGGGGCACGTGTGGAAAATAACAAAAGGCTGGAAGATCAGGCGAAGAGACGTCCTCGGGATTGGTTGCAAGGTCCGGTGGTGTTTAGAGAGTTCAGGTGGAGAATGAGTCTTGAAGCAGAAGGGCCCCGGGGAGACAGATCTCCGAGGAGGTGACGAAGTGCTACATGCTGGCGGGCTCTCCCAAGACGTGCTGCGTCGCCAGTGACCCCTTCGTGGGCAAGAGCGCCCCTGAGAGCAGGGGACGCGGCTGGAGCCCAGGCCGGAAAAGGCCCCGCGGGAGGTGAGACGCAGCCTTCGTGCCCCATGAAGAGATGGGCTCCCTCGCTTCTGCGAACGGGTGTGAGTGACGGAGAGAACGTTCCACGTAGTCCCTGAAACACCGCCCCGTCTGGGGGGCAGTGAGGAGCCGCCAACGGCCTGGGGAACCGGGGCGCTGTCACCCCACACCCCTCACAGTGGGGGCGGCTGTCCTGGGAGGGCCCTTCATGGCCAAGAGGTGAGATTTTTCACGTCGGGGCCACTAACGGTGCCAGAGGCTGCGGCCAGGTACCTGGCCCCCTTGTCACCTGGGAGCGCCGTGCGGGTGAGGACACAATAAAAGGTTTCTCTTCAGGCCCGGAGTGAGGGCACTGGGAGGCGTGGGACTCGCACCCGGGCCTTGTGTTTATTTTAAGCCCGGTTCTTATTGACTCTGGACTCAAAGTTGTTCTGCAAAGAGTAGTCACGGTGGGTAATTAAATATTTATGTTCTTATTTAACAACAATTTCCATTTCAGGGAAGAGGCCCAACTTCATCATTCCCCTGGCACTTCTCACCTCTGCCTGGAGCAGGCCCAGCTTCAGGGGGGCCCAGAACGACGTGCCCCTGGCATCGCCAGCGGCGGCCCCCGGAGAGTCGGGCAGAGGGCGGAGCCTCGTGGGGCCAGCCCCGGCCACCGCGGGCAGCGTTTGGTGACCGACCGAGAGCTTGTCTTTGATTATCACCCGTGCTTGGGGGCGAGTCGTGGCCCCACCTCCAACCAGCGAACTTATTTCTCTGAGCCTCACTTTCCTCATCTGTAAAATGGGCGTGAGGCTCTCTGACTTACGGGCGGGCTGCGAAGCTGACATGTGAGGATGAGTGTTCGTGGTTCCCAGAGGTCATGGTGCCCAAGAGTCAAGGGAGAGATGGCTAAGATGAAGGTTCTCAGGCCCCTCCAGCTTTTCTGATTGAGTGAAGCTAAGCTGGGACGCTGGGCCATGGCGACAAGCTTCTAGGTGATTCTCACCCGAGTGAGTGATTCCGTAAGAAACACCGGTGTCTACAAAGGGCTTAGTCCTGAGTCCAGCATGTAATAAGTCCCCAGTCCATGCTGCTGCTAGCGACTGTGACTTTTATTCTAGACCGCTTGTCTCTTGTAACAATAAGGGTACAGACAAATCATCCCCAAATCTAACCACTTTGCTTCCAGACCCCTGCTCACCATCACATTTGCTGCCAACCCAAACGACGTCACCCGGCTAAGCCCAGAACCATCCAGAGGAACCCACCCAGAAAGGGAGGGGTTAGAGAGAGGAGTGGGGCAATGAATGTCATCAACCCATCTCTCTCAGGTATTGTTTTAGAACACAACGGAATCGCACCATCTTTGTCTACCAGGTTCGTTTCGATAAGCACGCGTTGCATTTTTAAAAATTGTTTTTTAACGTTTATTTATTTTTGGGACAGAGAGAGACAGCGCATGAACGGGGGAGGGGCAGAGAGAGAGAGGGAGACACAGAATCGGAAACAGGCTCCAGGCTCCGAGCCATCAGCCCAGAGCCCGACGCGGGGCTTGAACTCCCGGACCGCGAGATCGTGACCTGAGCTGAAGTCGGACGCTCAACCGACAGAGCCACCCAGGCGCCCCTGCATTTTTAATAAAAAACTCCTTGGTTATTTCCCTGCCCCCACAGCACATCAGGACAGTAGTGATAACACAACAAGAGCCGTGACGGTTTCCCAGCACTTCCTCTGTGCCAGGCACTGTGCTAAGTGCTTTTAAATATTAGCTCATCCGACGCCCGCCGTGACCCCGTGAGGTTGTGTGTTGGCTTCCTGTTGGGGCTGTAACAAACTGCCACACACCGGGTGGCTCGAAATAGCCCAGATCTATGATCTTAATAAGATTAATAAGAAGGCTTAAAATGGGGCTAAAATTGAGGTGTCAGCAGGGCTGTCTTTCTTCCGGAGGCTCTAGGAGAGGATCCATTCCACGCCTTTTCCAGCTTCTAGATGCCAGGTGCACCCCTTGGCTCCTGGGTGCCTTCCAACAATGGGGCTGAAAGAATGGATGGCCGGATGGGTGGACGGACGGATGGACAGATGGATACGTGGACACACGGGTGGAGGGACGCATGCGTGGGTGGATGCATGGATGGGTGGACAGATGGGCAGATGGACGGAGGGGCAGAAGGACAGATGGGTGGATGGATGGATGGATGGGCGATAGCTGGGTGCACCCCAGAAAGTCTTGTCTCCCAGGCTCTCATCTCCATGGCTGAGACAACTGAAAAACACCTTCCTCACCCCCGTCCCCGGAGCTGTCATTTTTGTCTCTCCATCAGCATCAGGACACTTCCCACTCAGCTTCGTGAGTGAGAGCCTTTCTCTTTCCAAACCTCCCGCAGAACCAGTCCCCTCCAGTTGTGAGAAAATACGTATGTTGCTTACTCACCAGCCATGCCAGTCAAGGAAACTTAAAACAACGAGATTAGTTCTGCTTTTATTTGTTGGTACAATGGAGAGCATGAAATATTTAACAGCATCGTAATGCGGAACAGATGGGGAAGATACTGCCTTTCAGGGCCTCTCCATCCCTCCGGTCTTCCACCAACAGCCAAAACCTGGCGGCCCTTTAGGACAATTTATGGGCTGGAAGTCAGCCAAGGGACTGCTTGCCCAGGGGCCTCAGAACTGGCCCAACCCTGATAACGCCTACTGGGTTATCCATCAAAGAGGATCGAGTTACAATCTTTTGAACACTGGGCATGCCCCAGGGGATCTAGATGCTACATCGGGTGTAAGTCCTCATCGGCTTTATGCAGTTATCAGCGTTCAGAGAATCCTTTTCCTCTAGTGCTGATTATGTCATGGAATTTCCACCCACAAAACCCGAAAGCTTGCAAAATCACCAAGGAGTACATTTTGATTGGGTTTTGTGCTGTGCAACCTTGGGCAAGTCTGTAACCTCTCTGAGCCTGTGTCTTCAGCGGCATGAAAAACGAGGAGAGCCAGCTGGAAGTCCCTGTGAAGCTCGAGTGAGACAATGTGTATAAAAGTCTGGTGATGGCACATCGTAGGTACTCAAACCAGGTGGGTGAGTGCCCAGGGTTTGAACGATGGCTCTACTGAGAAACATATCATGTGAGCATGGTGTCTGGGTCTGCATCCCACATAGAATTTAGATTTTTTTTTTTTTTTTTAGTTTATTTATTGAGAGAGAGCGGGGGAGGAATAGAGAGAAAGGGAGCGAGAGAGAATCTGAAGCAGGCTCTGCGCTGTCAGCACAGAGCCTGACGTGGGGCTCGATCTCACAAACCATGAGATCACGACCTGAGCCGAAATCAAGAGTTGGATGCTTAACTCACTGAGCCACCCAGGTGCCCCAGAATTCAGAAATTTTGAACCAAAAGGAACTTGGGGGATTATTTAGACTAAAGGACGCAAAGCAATCCTTTGGGTCACATCCAGCCTAAAGACACACACACACACACACACACACACACACACACGGCACAGGTATTTTTTAATTATTCAAATTAGTTGCCACGTAAAAGACTTTCTCTCAACATTAAAAGCTGAAATCTTGTGTGATCTAAGAACTGTCAGACGTATGACCCAGAGCGCCCGCACCCACCTGGCAACGACTGACAGGGCCCCCAAACCTTTTTCCGCAATGTTTTTGCAAGTGACCAAGTCTCTCATTTGTGTTTCCTACCTGGGTTCTGTGAGCATGGGAATTCGTAAACCCAGCTCGAGAGCAATCCTCTCCCTTTACGAGACAAATAAGGTAAAGGGAAGAGATCCAAATATGCACCCCCCCCCCCACCACCACCACGGCC